AGAAAGCCAACTGAGTGTCAGCATCCCCTAAATTCTCTTCACTCTGCTTACTGAGAGGAGCTGATATCACCCCCATGACTTCCTACCATGATGAGTTGGGAACCAGACAACATCTGTCTAGACAAGATGGCGTCATAGCAATAGAAGAAGTAACTAATGAAGAGTCTGGGGCAAGCTACACAATGGTGTAAAGAGCTAGAATGATTACTCAGATGTCCTCTACATGTCCAGCCTTTACTTGTAATGCCACACCTTCTCCCTGGTGCAGTCAAGGAGTCTGCTTAAGCTCCTCCACTCTTACAGTAAGAATACTTTTAAAATGTGAATTTACAAAATGCATGTCCAACTTTAGGTACCAGAAACTTATTTAAAATTCTATTGCTACAAAAAAAAAATAAAAAAAATTCTATTGCTACAATGTAGAAAATACTGTCAACTATATCTTTTTTATTCCATGATGTGGGATGCCCCTCTGTATGCTATGAATTTGTTTTATTGCCATTGGTTAATAAAGAAACTGCTTTCGGCCAGTGGCTTAACAGAGTAAAGCCAAGCAGAAAATCTGAGCAGAGATGTAGAGAGAGTTTTGGTCGAGTGAAGGAGACACCTTGTAGCTGTCAAAGGAGACAGATGTCAGAACTGTACCCGGTAAGCCACCATCAAGTGGTGGTACACAGATTAATAGAAATGGGTTAATTTTAGATATGAGTTTTCCAGGAATATGCCTAAGCTGATAGCCAAAGCAGTGATTTAATTAATATATTTTCTGTGTGATTATTTTGTGTCTGTAAGGATAGGAAATGAACAAGTAGCCTCCACCTACAAAATGGTGCCCAAATGTTTAGGGCTGATGCTTGCCACCCACTTTGGGTCCAGGTGCTTGTGTGCCCACTAGGGGTCGGAAGGAAAGTGGCTTATTGATACAAATTTAAGGTCAATCTTGCTGTATGTACATTTCTGCTCTTGATTAAGTTATTGTGTTTGTGTAGCTCTCTTAAAAATGTAATGTAAAATTAAGAAATACAAGTTAATAATCTTATATAGCAGTCAAGCTTGTAGTCATGTTAGTTAGGTCTTCTAGATGTACAGAGATATATTTCAAATAGATAGGTATCTTTCAAACTGTTCAAAGACTAACAGAATGTGCCATTTAAAATGTTTTGAGAACTTAGGACATTGCATGACAATGAGATACATCTGCCCCTGGCAGCACCAATTATTTCAAGAGGAATATGGGCATCAAAGAGGTTCCTTATAGAGTTTGCTAACCATTTGGGCAAGCTGCTCTTGCCTGGACCGATAGATATTATGCTAAATGAACTGGACATGCAGGACCTGCAGAAAAAAATGACTGATGAACTTGCCTAAAGGTGAGACAGTCCTTTCAGGTTCCTGCTCCATGAAAGAGTCTGCCAAACATTATTCAGAACACAGAAGAAAGTGACTGACAAACTGCCAATATTGGTGGAACTGTCTTTGAAATTTCCTGCTTTATGGAAAAGTTTGCCAGATACTATGAGCCTGTAGGCTGAAGATGGGTACCCCAAAGTTACAGAAGAGCTTTGGGTGACTGTATAGGCAACAAGATGTCTCTGTCAATTCTAGAGTTTTGGAAGTTGCTTACCATTCACTTCCTGTTTACTTAGGTAATATTATATCCTTCCGGAGTCTTTGATGGAGTTGAAGAATAGTTATAGCTTTCCTTAGTTAGGATAAAGCAGATATAAATATTGTAACTATAATTCTTACTTGATAACTGTTTTGTTGTATGCAATCTTGCTATGTTAAAGTTAAAACCTTTCTTTTTATTTAGACAGAAAAGGGAAGGCTATGTGAGATTCTCCTCTGTGTGCTATGAATAAGTTTTATTGTCATTGGTTAATAAAGAAGTTGCTTTCAGCCAGTGGCTTAACAGAGTAAAGCCAGGCAGAAAATGTGAACAGAGATGTAGAGAGAGAGAGTAGGCAGAGTCACGGAAATGCCATGTAGCTGCTGGAGGAGAAAGATGCAAACTGCCAGTTAGAACCTTGCTGGTAAACCACAAGCCTCATGGTAAAATATGAAATAATAGAAATGGGTTAATTCAAGATATAAGAGCTAACCAATAAGAAGCGTGAGCTAATAGGCCAAGCAGTGTTGTAATAATTCAGTTTATGTGTGATTATTTCAGGTCTGAGCAGCCGGAAAACAAATGAGCAGCCTTCAACTACAATACCACATTCATTCACACAGTAATAAAACATTAACCAAAACTTAAAATAGCTCTAAGATTCACTGATTATCCCACACTGTATTTTATGACTTTTATTGTATTTACACCTTCTTTGCAAAATTGGTAGCACCAAAGAACTATGATTTAAAATCTAATTAAATTTTCATGCTTTTACCTACAGATAATCCTTTGATCTTCCATTTCAAGTATAAAACTGCTATTTAATTAGACACTTTTTTTTTTCAAAATGAAGGGGGTGGAGAAGAACATCAAGGCAGACAGGTAAAGGTCAGAGGACAACAAGAGTCTATTGTCTACTTCCAACAAGGGACCCAGGGATTGGACTAAGGTGGTCAGGTTTGGTAGCAAGCACCATTAGCAGCCAAAGCATCCCAAGATTCACTTGGTTTTAAGTTTCCGGTTTAACCAGATGCAGACTATCTTAAAAACAAAAATGCTGCCAGGAAACATAGCATTGATATATCACTTGCGTTCGTTTGACACTTGTTATATGAAAATACACATAGTATACACATAAATACAATTAAAAAATTATACATTTGGTTATATACATTTGTAATTGATTCAATTTCTTCTAGTTTGGAGACTCAGGTTCAAGTGCCTAGAGAGTCCAGACAGGTAACAAACACAAGGAAAATGAGTCAAATATAAGGCACTGGAGAATGAGAGACAGTAGTAAATGAATAGGTATTCAATCCAAAGACAGCTGAATTCAGCGCTTTACAAAATGTTGTTATCCTGATCTGACTACACATCTAAATTCAATCTTTAAAGTGTATTATGTGCTCATCACCAAGGCTAGAAACTCTCAGTAAATTTTACACAAAATGTAGCAATTTTATTTATGATGCTTACGGAGACAATTGACTGTAGCTGTACTTCAGAATGTTAATCAATGGGAGTTAAAGCAAAGACGCTTTCCTATCGTTCATACACAGCCACATACACGCTCATGCAGGATAATTTGATATTGTTAGTACATTTAAAGCCGTAGGTGAGGTTCTGGATTGACAGTTCAGCAGCTAAGAGCTCTTGCTGTTCTTACAGAAGGCTTGAGCTCAGTCCCCAGCACTCAGTCAGCTCATAACCACCTGAACTCCAGCTATGGGGAAGCAGACACCCTTTCTAGGCCTCCCCTGGCACCTGCACACACACACACACACACACACACACACACACACACACAAATACACAATAAAATCTTTATAAAGTACAAAGTAAGGCTGCAATTCAGCTCTAAATGTCAATTCTAAGCCTAGGAAATGACAGGGTAATAATTATATTAATAGTTGTCAATACTGGTATAGGACATTGAGAGAATATTTTATAAGACATTGATGGATGTGATCTCAATTGATTCTCATTAGCAAATTGGTGGCGTTGTTACAATATCTACTTAACTGGTAAAATAACAAACCACAGTAGCTTATGTCTGGGTGACCCCCAAAGGCCCAGTGACCTCCTTTGTGTCAGGCCTCACCACAACAGCCCGTACAGACTGCCTGTGGAAACCTTGAAACATCACATAATTATGACTGTACAAAATCATGGAAATCTATGGAATGTTTCTGAATGTGCCAGCTTACTTTTCTGCCCAGAGGAAAACTCACCTACCTCACTGACTGTTCTAAATTTAATATTAATGCCATGCTGGTTTTAGCTAAGTTCCAAAATACAGTTTTGATGTTGTTATTGAACAGCTGTTAAAAAAAAAAAAAAAAAAAAACTGGTATCTTACTTGTGGTTTTACCACGCACCATCTCAAATCATTTTTAAATACACAGGGAATAAATAATAAATAAATTAGTGTAAACACATAATTAAACATACCCAGGACAACAAAGCCAGACATTGTAACCTCCCCAGAGTGTTTATATTCATAGGATGTTTAAGTAACACTACGCTGTCCCCATGAAGCTATTTCTCCCGCCTGTAGGAGACTGTTGGACGACTGAGACCTGCCACCCTCCCTCCACTTATTACACATGGTTGTGGAGATCTTACCCAGCAATACCATCTGCTTAGGTCCCTCCTGGTTTTAGCGCCGAGGCACCTCATAACCAAACAAATTGAGATGCTGTCCAGCAGAATCTAGAATGTGAAAGAATACTAGAGTCTCACGAAGTTCTGCTGAACTAAGACTGAATTTTCAGTAAGGTTTTATCAAGTTTATTATCGATAATGTTTATGTGGACCAGTGTGCTGGACAGAAAAAGCACCAAACCAATATGTTATTTTTTTTCTTTTCACATGTATGTATGTATAGTATGCATGCGTATGTAGATGCAAGTGTCGGGGCCAAAGCATGCGCAGATGCTTGTGGAGGCCATAGATTGGCACTGGGTATTCTTTCTGCTTTATCTCCACTGTACGTGATGAGGCCGAGTCTCTCACTAGCACCCCAAACTCACTGGCTGAGCTAGTGTAGCTAGCTAGCTGGCTCCTGCGCACATGAGAACTCAAGTAGAATTTGTGACTAAGATTGATATAGATATGAATAATTTGCATTGGTATGGATTTTAAGGTCAATTTTGTTATATGTATATGTATTTCTGATATTGATTAAGGTATTGTGATTGTGTAGTTCATTTAAAATGTAATGTATAATTAGGAAATATAGGTTGTTAATGGATAATCATTGATAATAGTAAAGCTTATAGTCATGTTAGATTTTCTAGATATATAGAGATATATTTCAGTTAGATAGGCATTCTTCATATCTCTCAAAGGCTGCAGAATATGGCATTTAAATGTTTTAATAACTTAGGGTTTTTCATGACAATGAGACACGTCTGCTCCTGGCAGCACCAATCTACTTCAAGAGGAAGATGGGCATCGAAGAGGATCCTTATGGAGTTTGATAGCCATTTGGGCAAGAAACTGCTCTTGCCTGGACTGTTGCATAAACTGGACACAGAGAACCCGCAGAGAGAGGACTGCTGAACTTGCCTAAAGGTGAGATGGTCTTTCGGGGTTCCTGATTCATGAAAGAGTCTGCGAGACATTCTGCAGGACACAGCAGAAAATGACTGAACTGTCTTTGAAATTTCCTGCTTCATGGAAATGTCTCTGGATACCATGGGCCTGTAGGCCGAAGATGGATGCCCCAACGGTACAGAGGAACTTTGGGTGACTGTCCAGGCAGCGAGATGTCTCTGTCATTTCTAGAGTTTTCTTATTTCTTGTTTAATTAGGTAGTATTATATCCTTCTGGAGTCTTTGATGGAGTTGAAGAATGAATAGATAGTTATAGTTTTCCTTAGTTATGATAAGAGATAAAATAGATATAAATATTGTAACTGTAATTCTTACTTGATAACTGTTTTGTTATATGTAATTTTACTATGTTAAAGTTAAAGCCTTTCTTTTTTGTTTAAACAGAAAAAGGGGAAATGATGTGGGAGTGATTTCTTATTAATAAAGAAACTGCCTTGGCCCATTTTATTGGATAGAAAATTAGGTAGGCGGAGTATACAGAAGAGAATTCTGGGAGAAAGAAGGTTAGAGGAAGAGTCGCCATGATGCTCCCACTCCAGACAGACGCAGGTTAAGATCCTCTCTGGTAAGCCAGCTCATGGGCTACACAGAATATTAGAAATGGGTTAGAACAATATGTAAGAGCTAGCCAATAAGAAACTGGACCTAGCCGGGCCAGACAGTGTTTGAAAGAATACAGTTTCCGTGTAATTATTTCTGGGCATAAGCTAGCCATGCGGGCGGCCGGGTGCCGGGGACGCAGCCCTGCCGCTCCTATTTCAACATAAGATCACTATTGAACTGTCTCTGCTTGGCAGCGGGCACACTCTCCCTCAGCACCAGTCACCAAGAGTGTCTGCCAGGGAAATCTAAACAGGTGGGAGAAAAGCCCCCATGAAGCCTTGGGAGGCTTTCATTTCTGCTGCAGCTCCATGCTCCAAGCATACAAGCAAATAGAAGTATGTAAAACAGAGCCTAGAAGACAGCAAATAGTCAGAAGCCAGTTATAAACTCTTCAATTGTCTGCATCTGACGCATGGCTCAATTACCTGGCCCATGAAGTCAAGGAGGATGTTAGTAGATGCTGACCCCGAGACTCACCTGTGCAGAAGCCCCTGGCATCTTAAACAGGCAGACAAACCTGATTCTTGCACAACGCCAAAGTGTATGTCTCAGAATAGCAGCTGCAGTAAACAATCCCCATCATGCAGAGGAGCTGCCCTTGAAATAAAGTGTAGACGTGACACAGACCTGAAGACCCCTTGAAAAAAATCCTTGTCTATTGGCAGTTTCCTGAGAGGAGCCCAAGCAGCAGGCGTGGTCCTCCAGCCAGAGAGAAAGAAGCTCAACTTTGAGGAAACAGGGAGGACTCCTGTTGAGCAAAACAAGGCTTACCAGCTTGTGTGATTTCAATATGCAAATGGTTCTTCCTCTAAGGCCTAGGGATGGGTGTTAAAGTAGATCATGAGGTAGCACTTGAGAAACACATAAATAAATTATGTGTATGAAAACATTTCTGGGCAGTTTTCACTTTAAAGAACTCTATAGCTAATGAACAGACCCATATAATAAGCAATATCCTCAGGCAAGACACTGCCATATGTGTTTGACAAGCCAGAATAGATTATCCTTACAGGTAATTTTTTCAAATTTAATACAAGAAATAAAATTGGCCCTGAGCAGAATCTGTTGCAATCTATGTTCTTGATATACAAAATTTTATGTATTTTTTATCTGTATTTTAATGCCTCACTAGTTATCTATCTGGTTAAGAAAGTGAACTATTGTTGATAAATATTTATACTGAATGTACGGTCTGAAGTTAAAGTAAAAGAATTAAAACAAATACATGTAGAACTCAAGGTTGTTGAAATAGGAGCGGAGGGGCTGCGTCCCCGGCACCCGGCCGCCCGCATGGCTAGCTTATGCCCGAAATAATTACACGGAAACTGTATTCTTTCAAACACTGCCTGGCCCGGCTAGTTCCAGCTTCTTATTGGCTAGCTCTTACATATTGTTCTAACCCATTTCTAATATTCTGTGTAGCCCATGAGCTGGCTTACCAGGGAGGATCTTAACCTGCGTCTGTCTGGAGTGGAAGAATCATGGCGACCCTTACTCAGCTTCTTTTTCCCACAATTCTCTTCTGTCTACTCCGCCTACCTAATTTTCTGTCCTATGGGCCGAGGCAGTTTCTTTATTAATAAGAAATCACTCCCACATCACAAGGTTGTAACTCAGTGATACGAAATAGAAGCCTTCAAGCTTCCTGGTACTCTATAGGATCCTGAAACGCCATGAGACAAAGATATGAAGTAGCTCTAAGAACAAAATAAAAATGGTTGAAAAATGGCCAATCTCACTGGATGTGAAACTGGAAGAGAGCAAAGCCAAGGTCATAGGGTGCATAATTCCTGGTCTTTGGTCGGTTTGATGAGTGGACAACAAAAGGAGAAAGATTTAGGCAAGAGGGGTGGTGTCTGCCATATGCCCTTCTCCACAGCATGAAAAGTCACCAAAATCAAACCTTTAGTGAGATTTAGATAAGACTGTGTCTTTGAAAGTTAGCAGTTCTTCTTAATTCCATTTATCCACTCAATAAGATTCAATTAAAACCCCAAAGTTATTGGATTACAAAATTATTCTGAAATTAATTTGGAAGAAAGATCAATGAGAGTGTCTTAAGAACATTGAGGGAAGGAAAATACTGAAAATGAAGCCTCAAGTGTACAGGACATAAAGATATAAAAGCGGCATTTAAGCCTGATTTGTGTTCCTAAAGGAACTGGAGAATATAGAATAAAATGGGTGCAGCAGAACTAAAAGTCCACTCAAAGCAAGTGTGTGCACACGCAAACTAAGAATGTCTGTAAGTGTGGGGATATTTGTGGGAACACCTGCATGTGTGTTGCACACGCAGACTAAGAACGTTTGTAAGTGTGGGGAATATTTGTAGGAACACCTGTCTGTGTTGCACATGAAAACTAAAAATGTTTGTAAGTGTGGGAATATTTGTGGGAGCATCTGCATGTGTGTGTGTGTGTGTGCGTGCGTGTGTGTGTGAGAGAGAGAGGGGGGAGAGGGAGGGAGAGGAAGAGGAAGAGAGAGAGAGAGAGAGAGAGAGAGAGAGAGAGAGAGAGAGGGACGGAGGGACAGAGGGGGTGGTTACATGACATTCGGGGATCGGTTTTGCTCACTGAACCATCTTCCTAAGGTCTACACTTTAAACTATTATCAACTTTAGTCATACATGCATCCTGCTACTAGCCAGCAATGTGATCTGGGGTAGGTTAGTTAAACCTCCCTTAGAGAACATTTCCTAATCTTTAAAATGAGAGGGGGTCTAGGAATAAACCTTCATGAGTGCATAACACATACAATGCCCTGGCTAAATATCTAGCACATCTTCATCATCATCATCATCATCATCATCATCATCATCATAATAAAAACAAAGGATAAATAGTAAGATTGACACGGTCTCTAGCTATCACCCAGAGTGAGCGTGTCTAACATGATGAATACCCACCCGGAGGTGGTGGCGCACACCTTTAATCCCAGCACTCAGGAGGCAGAGGCAGGCGGATCTCTGTGAGTTTAAGGTCAGCCTGATCTATAAGAGCTAGTTCATGAACATGTTCCAAAGCAATAGAGAAAATCTGTCTCAAAAAAACAAAAGAGTAACACGGACCCTGATAACAGGGTTTATATTATGAATGGCCTTCAGAAGGCTACAGTCGCTCAATAGCTTCGGTTAAACTCACCTTCACCCTTTGAACTGATACATTTTTGTAGCTTTAGTGCTGATAAAATGATGGCAGATCTTCCTGGGAGCATACAAATAAACACAAGCCTTCTGGAAAACAATTTGGTAATAAGTGTGAGGGCTCATTAAAAGTTTCACATACTTTATTCAATATGCTATTTCTCAGAATTGTTCCTGGGTGGGGCAGAATAGCAATCAATGAGATCAAACAAAAACTTATCACAGTTTGATGACAACAAAATCATATAATCTCAAATTTAAAAAGAATTTCTGTATTTACTAGATAACACTGTGTGTGTGCACACGCATGCACGTGTGTGTGTGGGGGGGTGTTCATATGTGTGAATTCTGATGTATGCCATGATGTGCTGGTGATGACCTAAAGTATCTGTCCTCACCTCCCACTGTCTCGGAGGCAGGGTCATTTGGTCGTCTTTCTGCTTCATGTGCCGCTGGCTGGACCCTGGGCTTCTGGGGATTCAGTCTCTGCCTCTGATCTCCTGTAGGACTGTGGGGACTGCAGACATGTATGCTCTCCCATAGGACTGTGGGGACCGCAGACATGTGTGCTCTCCTGTAGGACTGTGGGGACCACAGACATGTGTGCTCTCCTGTAGGACTGTGGGGACCACAGACATGTGTGCTCTCCTGTAGGACCGTGGGGACCGCAGACATGTGTGCTCTCCCGTAGGACTGTGGGGACCACAGACATGTGTGATCTCCCATAGGACTGTGGGGACTGCAGACATGTGTGCTCTCCTGTAGGACTGTGGGGACCACACACATGTGTGATCTCCCATAGGACTGTGGGGACTGCAGACATGTGTGCTCTCCTGTAGGATTGTGGGGACTGCAGACATCTCCGTATGGATCCAGCTTCCACGTAGATGGAAAGCGGCCGTCTTCATTATTCACTGTGATAAGCAGAGCACACTCTAGCAGAGAACCTTACTGACAACAGGTGTCAATCAGTATCTAAGCTGGCTTTAAGGAGAGAATTTTAAATTAAAAACAGAAACAGAATGCACACCCACAAAGACACTGTAATCATTATGAAAGAATCATAGAAAATTCTCAAAAGAAATGCAAAATGCCAATAATGACAACTTAGGTGATTTTTTTTGTCTGCCTCTTTAGACTTCACTTGTCCATTATTTGTGTCAATGGAGGCTTTCTACATTCATAATCACAAGACAATGAATGGAAAAAACTTGAGGAAATCAATGGAACCCAATGGCTCTATTACTTCCTGACCACTATCCCAAGTGTGTAGCGCTCTTCCTTCTCACCGTTGACTACAACAGGAAAGCAGAAATGAATAACATGAATAGGGGGAATAATCTTTCACCATATCTTAGGAAGGAAATCACTATGGCTTGAAGCTGAGTCAGCCAGGAGCTTTCGACTGTGTTACCAGCTGCTGACTCCTTGTGCACGTCTGGAGAGGCCCAGGAAGGTGGAACTTGGAGGGCGGAAGTAGGCCATTAGGGGAGGAGAGCTGATGGTCATGCCTGGCCCCTGGCTCCTGTCACAGTCTGGGTCCTTCTCCATGTAAGGAACCTCTTACGTGGATCCTGCCACATGAACCTCACCATTCCTTCCGCTCTATAACAGACTGAGATGGCTGTGCCACGTTGGACTGCCATATGTCACAAGCCGCCTTTGGGGGGGCGACTTCTGCCAGGTCCCCACTCTGGCGGGTTTGCACATTCCAGGGATTAGAAAAGTTAGGTGGAAAGAACAGAGATAAGAAGGAAAAGCAGAGACAGAAGATAGTATCAGGAGGGCAGCTCAGTCTCCTTTTGTGTACTGAATTCTTA